GCGGGGGAGGCAGTGGAGAAGAGTCTGGGACATGTGTTTTTCAAGTCAGTGGCTTCGAGGAGGGACATGTATACTTCTTGCCCATGCCTCAATTTCCCCTGGATTTCTGAGCCCAGCTTTAGGGTAGAAATCAGCAGCCGGTTATGTCTGGCTGTCAGTGCCAGACTGGACAGATACAGTCTCTAAGGGAGGTTTCTGTAGAGGTGCTCGGGGCTAGCGGACTCATCCAAGCCTGTTGTTAACTAGAAATGTGATCTTGAAAATGTCATTTATCAGCTGCTGCTTCCACAAAATAAGAACTTAGTGTGGAGTTTTAAAATCTGCTTTAGTAGCAAAAACTGGTTTTCAACTCAAGTTGCATACAAGAAACAGGGAAAAGCAGAGCGCCTCTGAGTGAAGGTAGAGAGACAGGCACCATGTAGGCCCTTTGTCCACACATTTTCTCACCCCAGTTCCCCAGCGGAGGTGGCTCCTGAGCCCACTGCGGACACCATGATTTTCTCCTCCCCTACAGGGACCTCCAGCTGCCTCCTTCAGGCCCTGACACTGTAAGAATGGAACTATTTTGCGGGATCCTGATGTAGATGGTCTGTGATCTTTTTCTTTATTTTGAATCCACACCTGAGCACCATATAGTAGCGCCTGAGGTTCAGCTGTTTCTCCATTCCTTGGTGTGGAATGTGTAGACTTATGGGAAATAATCTGCTTTGAAAAGGTGCAGGGCCTATGTTTGGCCCCACAGCCCACGCATTTGGTTAATACGTGGTTAAAACCCAGAAGCCAGAAAGGCAGGGGGTCGTGGCTTAATGGGGAGGAAGACACGCTCTTATACACACCGTTCTTTCGGGACTCATTGTGAGGATACGTCACAAGCCCTGCCTTTGGTTGTTTCCCAGGTCAGAAACACCTTCAATGCATGCTAGAATGTGAGTTAAATATTCCAAATCTCCCAAGAAAAGGAATCCAGAAGTTTTATAAGTCATTTGAGTTCCATCCCTGACATTATATCCCTGCATCCCCCCACATATCATCAGATACACTAAAACAGGCGTCCCCAAACTACGGCCTGCGGGCCGCATGCGGCCCCCTGAGGCCATTTATCTGACCCCCCGCCGCACTTCAGGAAGGGGCACCTCTTTCATTGGTGGTCAGTGAGAGGAGCACAGTATGTGGTGGCCCTCCAACGGTCTGAGGGACAGTGAACTGGCCCCCTGTGTAAAAAGTTTGGGGGCCTGCACTAAAACATCTGAACTGGGATGGGCCTATTTTAACATTTTACTGTTTTAACCAGAGCAGCGGGTGAGACCGCCATCTGTCTCTGGTGATGGATTTATTCACCATTCAGCTTCTTTCCCTTTATACTGTTCTTCCTTAAATTTAACTTCTAATTTCTACACTGAAGCCCCAGCCAATATTCTCTAGTAAAACCTTTAGTGGCTGGAGAAGAGCTTGTCCCCAGTGCCTGAGTTGATTAATTCATTCAAATATTTGAGTGTCTCCTTCACACAGGAAATGTACTAGGTGCTGAGTGCCGTTTCCTTTTGTCAGCTTGGAGGATATTGTAAACCTGCCTCTCACACTTCTGTTCTCTAGGCGCAGCACCTTAAGCATTCTTGTCCTCACCTCTGGGCTGACAATATCTCTCTCCCCTTTCCTTTTAAGTCATTTGACAAACAGGTTATTTAGTGACTAATTGTGTGTCTAGACTCTTCTCAACACATTAAGAAATGCAAAATTTCCATAAGATAGAAGCCATAGTCTTGTTTGGGTCTTGTTGAGCATGTTCTTGTTACGTGAAAAATAAAAGAGTAAAAATACAACAGCATGAAACAAAACTTTTATGTATTTATTTTTGAGACAGAGTCTTACTCTGTTGCTTAGGCTGGAGCACAGGGGCACAATCTCGGCTCATTGCAACTTCCACCTTGCAGGTTGAAGCAAATCCTACACCTCAGCCTCCTAAGTAGCTGGTACTACAGGCATGCACCAGCACACCTGGCTAATTTTGTTTTTAGTAGAGACGGGGTTTCACCACGTTGGGCAGGCTGGCCTCAAACTCCTGGCCTCAAGTGATCCACCGGCTTCAGCCTCCCAAAGTCCTGGGATTATGGGCATGAGCCCCTGTATCCAGCCTCAAAAAAAAACTTTTAATAAATTAAGAACTCATGCTTCTTTTCTTTTCCATAAGAGAAAGAAAAGGGGATGTAAGTGTTCTGGGAAGAGTGGGACAAATTCTAACTTTTTTGAGTTAGAGACGTAAAAAATAATAACCAGAGGTGCCATATTGCTGTTTCCAGTCAAACAAATGGATCTGGTCATATTTCAATCCCCAAACCCTTGACATGAGGAAATATGCAATTTTTTTTTTTTTTTTTTTTTTTTTTTTTGTGAGACGGAGTTTCGCTCTTGTTACCCAGGCTGGAGTGCAATGGCGCGATCTCGGCTCACCGCAACCTCTGCCTCCTGGGTTCAGGCAATTCTCCTGCCTCAGCCTCCTGAGTAGCTGGGATTACAGGCACACGCCACCATACCCAGCTAGTTTTTTGTATTTTTAGTAGAGACGGGGTTTCACCATGTTGACCAGGATGGTCTCGATCTCTTGACCTTGTGATCCGCCCACCTCGGCCTCCCAAAGTGCTGGGATTACAGGCTTGAGCCACTGCGCCCGGCGAAATATGCATATTTGAAGATGCTTTGAACACCTTTGTGGTTTATATTTAGCTGCGGGATCTCAGAACTAGGAGGAACTAGGCATTGTGGTTGTGTGCCTCTTGTGACTTGGGAAACCTTGTCAAAGGCAAGAGGCAGATCTCTGCCATCTGTACTCCCAGGGTCTGAAGGATTTGAGCTCTGATTCCAATATGCTAACACATGGTGGTGGTCATGTCCTTGCAAAGGTCACTCCCATGCCCATACCTCGTCCCAGCCTTTTTTCCCCCTCCTCTCCAGCTCCATCCCAATCTTGTGCCAAGCTTAAGCTGGAGGTAAAGGTTTATTGATAAATTCAGATGAGTGAATGGTCATTATCAATTAAATACAAGCATTTCTGAGAGGAAGGAAGAGTTAGTTAAGGGTTGTTCACGAGGACGCATGCTTTACGTTACTTTCTGTGGCTCATTTGACTAATATTCTGGCACTCAGCTTTTTTTCTATGTCACATCTCTAAAAATGGTCTGCAGTGAGCTATAATTCAGAGGCATTTTATTATAGAAGAAAAAGCATGAGCTTTGGGAAAATGTAGTTGGGGATTTAAATCCCAAATACATATACTAGCTGTGAAACCAAGAAAATGTTGCTTAGCTTCCATAAGTCTCAATTTTCCCATCAGTAAAGAGGAGATACTTTCTGTCTCATGAAGGAGTTATGAAGATTAAACATGAGAAATTACATAAAGCAGCACCCAGGATGCCAGCCACCCAGGCGATCCTCAATGTATCCTAGTTTCCTACCTTTCTCCTTAAGGTAGGCTGTGACTGGAACTTACCAGATGCAAGTGGAGGAGTGTTAGGATTGGCCAATTCCTTTCTTCACATCTTTGCTTTTGCACCTGCTCCCACCTGAAGTGCCTTGCCCTGACACCTTTCCATGTGAATTCAAGGCTACATGCAAACTCCATCTTATTTCAACAAGCCTACCCTGACTGCTCCTTGCTTCGTTTCCCCAATTTGATGCTCACACTTGACTGCACTCTGCTCCCACTGATGTACATGTGTCTGCATGTCTGATTCTTCCACCAAACTATAGGTTCCTGGAAGGCAGGGACTGTCAGTTCCTGGCAAGTGGGCTAGTGGGTTGTGGCTTGGCTGTTTTATTACAATCAGAGGGGTGAAACCAACTCTTCACCAGGGTGGTGCTGCCTGCACCCAAGATGCCTTCCACGTGGGGGGATCTAGCCTGCAGTATAGGGTGGGGGGAAACAGTGCAGCTTATACCTTCTCCACCTCTCTTCTGCTGAATGCTAGCTTCCACATCACTTCAGCATCATCTTTGGCAGTCATTTAGGGAAGCTAAAAAATCCAGTTGATCTTTTCTGAAGGCCGGAGGCCCTGGGGCTCAGCATGACTTCTTCTCTTTCTTAACCCAAACAAAATATTGTTACAGCAAACATGAAGTCTTTCCTATTTTTCACAAATGCTCTTCAAGCCTAACAAAGCTAGCCATCACCCTCCTTGAATCAAAATAAGCATCTGCTCTTTTTTCCTTTATCTCACACTTTCCCAGCATTTTTAAGCAATAATAAAGGATGCAACTATTTTACCAATTAATCATGTATCTTTGTTTAATGTTTTGTGCAAAACCCTGGAAAGGATGCAAAAAATATTTAAAACCTTAACTGTAGCCTTAATATTGATTAAACACAGAGATGCAGAAACTACGTATAACTGACTCTCACTCTTTTATGTTGTATATGATTGTTGGAAGCATAAATGATGAAAACTTAAATATTGTATACAGTCATAGGCAACGTATGGCAAAGAGAAACTGAGTCACACATAGATGTGAAGAATAGAGGACCATTTGTACTGAGCTGAGGTTTTTTTAAAAAGGAAAAATAATAAGCCGTCTTAGATGAGTTGGATCTTTGTTGCTGAAGCAGTAATTCTTGTATCACAGACCATTTTGACAGCAGGAAGAAAGCCAGGGCCCCTTTCTCTAAGGAAATATATGCATCTGTAGATTCACACATACTTATAATTGCAGAGAGCCATGAACCTGATGAAGGTCATCCGTAGCCCATGATTCCTAATTTAAGACCCTTTGAAGAACTGGTAGTACATAGAGATGGCAGCAAGAGAGAGGCGATAACGTCAGAGATGGTACACAAAGCGGGAAGGCCACTGAGCCTAGACTCCCAGTCCAGAAATCTCACATTTGCCTTTTGTGATCCGACTTCTGTAGCTCTCTTGCAGGCTATGGTAAGGCCGTTGCTGGTCAGTTGTGGTGGGGAGACTGTATGCAGACTGAAAATTCCTGATGAATTTTCCTTTGTTCTTTTCTAGCTCCTCACAGCCAGTGACCTTGCAGCCAATGACCTCAAAGGATTTCAGCCACAGGTAAGTTCCACTGATGCTTTTATGAAGTTTGGAAGAGTGAAATGCTCCAGAGTTTGATGGTCAACAAGCACTCTTGGGGCCAGGACAGAAACCCTGACCTTGGATTTCTAGCTTCTTTCCCTCAAAATGCTAACTCTGAGAAGGACCTGGCAGCTTGCTCCCCTCCTCCAGCTCCTCTCATTCCAGCATGCACAAAACCACCTCTTTTTGCTCTTTCATTCCTAATATTTTATAGTAGAAAAATATATATAGATAAGATGCTTGGAATGTTAGGTGTTGGGGACTCAGCTTAAGGAAGGGTTAAACCAAAAGCGGCAGAAGGTGGGGTGGGGTTGGGGTTCTTCCCTGTATTTTCCTCTTTTTGGACAGGATACTCTCACATTTCTGTAATCTTTGCAGAAAATGCTTCGCAGTCAAGTCCTGACAGCCAAGTTAATCTCAGATTCCTGCAGAGGCAGACAATTGGGGTTTGCTGATCTTGGTCAGGAAATGGGCCACTGTTATCTCTGGCCAGAGTGGTGCTTGGAGGTTACTATGGACAAACTCTGTGAGGGTGTATGCAAGGGCTTTCTGGAGACCTTTTTTTGCAGGGGTGAAGATGGACGTCATCCTCCATGTCTCTGGAAAAGGAGTCTACGCACAAAATGTAAACACGAACACACATACTCAGAAATCTCAGAAATACAAAAGCTCTTGTTTTCTCACATAGAGCCCAGTGTAGGGAGAACATGTACATAAAGAACAGTAAATCCAAAGGTGATTATTAGGGGACTCAGCCCCTGCCCCTGTCCCTTTTTCAAAATGAAACTTACTGTCACCCTTCAACTCAGTGCCTGCCTCAAGATCTCACAGTGCTGTACCTTTGTGGGAAAATACATTATAGCTAATGGCAGTGAACTTCCAGGGGCAGAGCAAATAATTTTCTAATTGCAGGAATTTCAATATTTGGGAACGTTTTCTTCTTTAAAGGTGTTTCACATCGAGGAGCTCACTGCATCCTCCTGATGCTTTTCCCATGTGAGTGACAGTCACTGCTGAGGAATCTGAGGACCCAGTCCTGATGCAGAGTGGCCCCAGGTCACACAGAGAGCTAGGAACAGGTGACGGGGGTGTGGGGTGGGGGGGTTGAGCTAAAGGAAGAGAATTAACAGAATCAAGGGCCCCATTGGTGAGAATCAAAGATAGATTCATACACTAGAATGGGATGTTTTCATCTCATCTTGTTGATCCTCCTGTCTGGAAAGTAGTGAGTTTTTAGACATAGATTGCCAGTAAGCCTTTTTTTGTCAACCATTGAAAACCGTTAATTAATTACTTATTCACATACTTACACGAACTTCCAGTTGGGCTAAGGGAATGTGAAACAAAAACAAAAAGAAAATCAACATTTGCCACCTACCCCACTCACCTCCATGCTCCTGCACGGTGGCAATCCCAGCTAAATATTTTTTTTAATCTGAAAATTTATAAAATTAAAGGAAATTGTGTGGTGCTGGTTTACTGCTTGAAAAGGACACACGGTGGAGACTGAGTTTACTGGAGTTGTGTGCGTGTGTGTGTGGTTTTGGCATGGTTTTCTTCTGAGCCAAACACATTCTGTCCCTGTTTGTTGACCTACACTTTTAGATATTAAAGTAATTGAGCAAGCTGTCCAGTGAAGGAGAAGTTAGAAATATTTGAGGTTCATGCATAACATTTGAGGGCATCCTAGAAAAGCAGATTCCAGGCTACCCCACAGCCAGCCCCACGGCTTCCAGTGTAGATGGCTTGCTCCCCTGGTTCTGTTTACCCCTTCCATGTTTTTCCATTTGCATGACATCCTCCTGAGGCTAGAAGCATAAATGCATGTTTTTCACTCCTCAGGATGCCTGTTCTTGAGGCCAGGAAGTCCTGGGAAACTTGTGGCCAGGGTGTAATGCCCAGATCAAAGTTAATTCTCTAGTGAAAGACTCAGATGTGTCTCAGGTCAACACCACTCTTTGGGTGCTTTTTAAAACAGAAACAGAAAACTGTCCACAGGCTTTGCACTGGTCCCTCCAGCCCCACTGCACCAACCTGCGGGCTTCTGTTGTTATTCTTCTCTCTTTGGGTTTCAGATGAAACTGAGTCCCATTCAATAATTCATGGGTGTGTTTGCCTTCAGGATCCATCACTGACTGTCAGGAGGGGACTCACTGAGGACCCCTCCCAGGGATAATGTATCTATTCTCTCAGCTTCTGCATGGTACACACTTATCACTTGAATGTAGAGGTTTTCTTTTTGTTTTCCTGCTTCAGACTCTTAAGGGAGATAGTTATGGAATCTTCAATGATTTTGAAAATGTGTAGCGTAGTGACTGTGCTGAGCTGGATTTTCTGTTCATTTGTCTCTGTCTTCTCTCTACATCCAGATAGAGAAGAGGAAGGTAAGGAAGTGAGTATCTGCCTTTCTCCTCATGATAATTGGTTACTAAAAATGCCATGCTCATTCCTGAAAATAAACACATGACTTTTTAGGATGAACCTGAAAGCTCATGTTTTCTAAGGTATTGTGCTTTGGGGTGGGGGGGTGGTCTCCCCAGAGGCTGGTGAGCATGGCTTCTGGGCCACAGGGTAGAGCTTCTCCTAGAGTCAGGCCTGGTGCTGGTGGTAGGCGGGTACTATTTTCAGCTAGTTTTAAAGGCACAGATGGAAAAGCTTCTGAAATTCACACCTAACCCACCCTGACTCTTCTACCTCCAAACATGTCTCCTTTTACTTTCTAACATCCTGTTCTTCTTGCCCTTTGAAGCAGCAGATACACTTGGGTATCCTCCTTTCTAAGTCTTTGGGTTATTAGAAATGAGAATTCTTGCTTCCTTTGGTCGGATCAGTCTTCTCCATTCCCAAGAGGAATAAAAGCTGATATCTAATTCTCTTTAGTAAAAGCCCAATAACCATATGCTTTCCTCTGCATTTTTCTTTTGTTCCTTTTTTTCTCTAATATAAAAGTTGTAAATGTTCATTGTAGAAATTTGGAATGTACAGAAAACCATAGGAATAAAATGCCCTATTATTTTACCTCAGAAACACAGACAATGACGTTTTGGGGTGTAGTATTCTGCTCTTTGTTCTACATAGACACGCACATCTATTAATTTTTTTAATGATCATATTTTATATGGTTGTTACCTTATTTTTTGTTTGTTTGTTTGCATGCTTTCCACAACACTACCAAATCTAGCAGCTAGCCAGGCTTGCAATAGCTGTTAGTACCATCATTCATTTACTGCTCTCCTCTTGCTAGACATCCCATTCGTTTTGCAGGCTGAGATCTCCAGCGGCAATCCAAGGCAAATGCTAGTGTCCAGTGCCTTCATCCAGGATACAAAGAGCATCCAAAGCTTCTTGGTATTTTTTAAATTTTTATTTCTCGGTTTCTACAGGAATGTGCAGGCTGCTTAAGCTTTGCAGCGAAGTCCCCATGGGTGATGCCCATGTGCTTTGTGCACAGGCTTACAAGGCAGGGGATGTGATAAGGAAATAGCCATAGCATGGGGACCAAATTCAGCTGCAGGTCCTGCATGCTCAGCCACAGTGTCGGAAAAGTGAGGTGACAAAGAACATCCGCCACAGAGGAAAGCACAGACTGAAGGATTTGGTCTTCACCAGCTACATAAACCCTCTTTTGTCTCAAGAGAGTAGGATACTTTTTTTTTTTTTTTTTTAAGGAGAAATGGAGTATTATTTCAAGTGTGGGGCAAGTGTAATGGCCACCTATGAAGAGTGGCTATTATAATGAGTTTCTAAAATGTCAATTGCTACTATGGTCAAGGGCACGTTGTGGTGGAAGGTGAGAAGAGAGTAAACCAGAACACACAGGAGAACATGTTTTAGTGTGGAGAAAACAGAACATTCCGTGACTTAGTTGCCGTTTCATTCAACAGGCATTCATGGAAGACCTTTCTGTGGGCTTCCCAGCCAGGCACAGACCCTTCCCCAGATGTTGACTGTTCTGGAATGTTCTGCCACCAATATTACTTTTGCGACCCTGACGAAGTTACCTAATGTCTTTGATCTTGATTTACCTTGTTAAGCAAAGGAGTTGTATAGCTTATTTCACAGAGAGTATGAGCGTTGAATGAGACAATGCAAGTGAAACCAACCTAGCATGGCTGGAATGCGCAGTGAGGTGTTGTTTTCTTCCAGTAGAGAAGTGCAGGGTAAGTTAATTCAAAATGCAGATGTAGAAGAAATATTATGTCTTAGAACAAGCAGGGAAGTCTTCCAGGCAGAGATGCTATTGTACTTGGGGCAGGATAGGTGAGAAGAAAGTGAGGCACTGGACTTATTCCAGAGCAAGGGAAGCGTGGATGAAGGCCAAGACAAGAGTGGTGATGCTTGGGTATAACTGGAGGTTTGGAGTGATTTCATTGCTGAGCCTCAGAGGAAAGCATGGTGGGAAATTACATGCAAATTAAAGTGGGTAGAAATTTCAGGTCTTAAAGGTCTGCAAATGTAATAATAGTTGTTGCTTTTTTTAAAAAAAAAAAGTCTGGAAAATAAATTGGACTTAAAAATTAACTGTTATTAAAGTTTTCAAACTTACACAAAAGTTAGCATAATAATATAATAAACCCATGTACCTGTTATCCACTCTCAATGATATGCTGCTTAAAAAGCCCACATTTGTAGCATTTGCTCATTTCTGTTGTGTAAATATCTCCATCATGACCAGTTTTAAGCTACCAGTGGTTTAGAAATCTGTTGGCAACGTCTTTGAATATCAGCTCTGCACCCCAGCGTGCCACTCGGATAGCTTTCACAATCGTTACCGTTTTCCAGACTTATCTATACTCTCATCTACTTTCGTTTTTAATTTTAATTTTTGGGAGGTATACTTTAAAACAAATCCCAGTCATCATGTTATTTCACTCATAAATAATGTCATTAACTTAATCTAACACAGAAGTGTTTTTTTAGCACAATCACAATGCCATTATCACATCTATTAAAATTACCAGTAATTTAAAAATATTTTCAAATACGCCATCCATATTCAGACTTTTCTGATCATTTTTAATACACCATGTTATAGTTGGTTTGTATGAGTCAGGAAACAGATTTTTCAGAACAAAATCACCATTTTTCAGAACAAAATCACCATTATCTGACTCAACTCTGAATGGACATCAGCTGTCTGCAAGTTCAGCATCAACACTTATAAAGAGCAAAATGGAAGCTCTGGGTTTTCCAGGGCACTGAGCCTTGTTAGACTAGGGTTAGTAGTAGTGCTTGTTTACCCTGCTTTTGGCTCAGTACACATATGCCAAGGACTTGCTGAGCCTATGTAGATGCTGGGAGGTACTCTTTGAACTTTCCATGTATTTTGTCACTTAATCCTTACAACACTTTGTGAAATCAATAGGAACATTATCCCCATTTTACAGGTCAGCACACAGAGTCACAGAGAAGTTCACCCAGCCAGTATGTGCCAGAAGTGGGATTTGAACTCAGATAGTCTGGCTCACACATCTGTATTCTTAACCACTTACGCTATGCCATCTTGAATTAGATTTATCTCTACAGGGAACACAGACCAGTGTGAACACTGGTAAGTTAAGGACAAGCGGCTGCACTTTCATTTTCAAAGATTATATTGAGTTTCCTTGATCTTTGACAAGGTCTATGAAAAAGGAATTTCTTCATTTGAGTAATAGAGGGAATTGCTGCAGAGCATTTTGAATGCTTCCACCTTGGCAAATAGTGTCTTGCTGTTCTCATTCCTGTCCTTCCCCAAACTCTCAAAGGGAGAATCATAGGGGTGGTTTTTCATCCCACAGCGGAGGAAACTGATAGGAGACAGAGGTAGACAGAGCTAGCAGTGAGGATACAGGTTGCTTGTTTTGACTTTGCCACATAATATTTACTTTGCTGTTTAGGAAAGAGCCATCCCAAAGCAGAGCAGTGAGTGTATAAGGAAGTCCTGCAGCTGGAGCTTCCTTACACCCTCCCGCATCCCCACACCCCTATTTTAAAATGGAACAAGACCTGGTGACCACGAAAAGCTGCCATTCCCAGCCTTGGCTGCAGGCAGGAATTATCAGGGCAGTTTGAAAAATACAGGAATCCAGTCCTAACCCCTGTAGTGAGGATTGAATTGGTCTGGATGGGGTCTGGATATTGGTATTTTCAGAAGCTCTCCAAAATCTAAGTCAGCCTCCTCATTTTCTAGATTAAAGACTCCAGTAAGGAGGAAATCTGGAAGAGAAGAGGCCAGGGCCTCACATTCAAAAAGCCATTCCTGTCCCGGGAACGTGCTGCGTGCCTCTCTTGCCCCCTGGAGCCCATTCCCCACAAAGCCCACTTATGTCTCTCACTCTGCCCCTTTCACAGCGAATCTGCAGTCTGGGTGCAAGAAGTATAACTTAGCATGGATTCTGTAAAGCCCACACCTGTGTTCATTCCCGGTTCTTTCCATTCAACAATTGAGACTTGCCCAAGATTGTAAACTGGCAAGTGACGGCATTTGGGTTTATGGTCTCCTCTGCCTGCTACGTAGACATTCTCTCTGGGTCTAAAAGATACCCAGAAAGATCCAGCTTCACAATGCTGCCCTGGAGAGATCATGCATTAGGTGGTCCCCACGCAGCATTCACTGACTTCCAGGGCAGGCTTGATCCCATGAGTTGGCTTGCTCAGATGATCGCTTAGTAAACACACACCTTTATTCTCTGGGCCTTTTTTCTAGCTTGCCTTGTATCAGCTGTGCCATGGATCTTTGCTCCCTGATCCCATGCTATGCAGAGTATGGGCTGCAAGCCACTGTTGGCCTGTCAATTGTGTGTCTCTGGTCCGCTATGGGATACTTTTAGAAACTTTTATAGCAGTTTGACATTTTTGTGATACTCAAGCGTGTGAATGTTTTCCTACTGGTTTATCTTTATAGTATTTTACCAAAGTATCCATACAAAAATATGAATTAAGAACAAAACATTTGGTCCTTCATCAAAGATCATTTGACAAGCTCTGTTCTAGTTCACCAACACTGAGCTTTTCTGGTTTTAATAAAAGAGTAGGATTTGGACTCCTGCTTTGTCTTTTTCTTCTTCTATGAGCCTATATGTGAATATTTGTAGTAGGAATAACTTTCACCCTCACCCCACCAAAAATGATTGGTTACACTTATAACAGCCTCTTTCTTGCTATTTTTAGGATAACTGCACACAACATGTATCTTTTCTCATAATTCCTAAGGAAACCCATTTAATTATTTTATTTACCAGACATGTGACAATAACAGGGCATTTTAAACAAAAATATTTGCCCACGTGCATACATACACCTCACACTGAAGCCCAAACTGACACTTTTACTCTTCTGACATGAAATCAACAGTTTCCTCCCATAAGTATACTTTTTTTGCACTGTTTGCCTTCACAATGTGTTTAGTAGATTTTTTTTTTTTTTTAACCAGCGTTGGCATTTGGTCCTGGAGAAAGAAGTTCTCCAGGTATTTTCCAGAAAGTCTGGCATTTCTGTGGAATATTCTGAAGTCTTAATAAGTTCTCCTGGGATACTAAATCTCTAGACCTCAGTGAATATGTTATTTTTTAATTCTAAGATGTTCTGACCATCTGAGGGGCCGTGTGCAGGTGGGCCTGACTTAAACCTAATGTGCCAAAGGTCACGTGTGAGAAAATTGATAGATGACAGGTGGGTGTTGGTGGGGAAGTGATTATTCTTACACGGAAATTTTTTTCCACTTGATTAAGGGAATCAGTATAAGTCATCCCTGCTAGTATATTCAAATATGATGTCATATTCCAAAATCTGACTTAAACTCCGTTTTTTTCACAGTAGAAATATAAACAAAGTGAAGCCAATTGCTTGGATTAATTTTGAATGGTACCCTTAGCAACAAGGGTGCAGAAGTAAATAATGTCTTGAGACTCCAAAGGTTTATTGTTCTGTGAATCCTTCCACTGTCTTTACATCTTCAGGTTTTCATTCTTGTTTTTTTTCTCTTCAATCCTTTTGGTAAAGAGGCCTAAAGATAAGGTTCTTAAAAATTCTCCTGTAATTGTGCTCACTTGAGGCCTGGGGTTATTGATGTTTTGTACTATTTCTCTAATGTCTGCGTTTATTAGTAGATTTTCAATATCCAGACCCCATCCAGACCAATTCAGTCCTCACTACAGGGGTTAGGACTGGATTCCCGTATATTTCAAACTGCCCTGATAATTCCTGCCTGCAGCCAAGGCTGGGAATGGCAGCTTTTCGTGGTCACCAGGTCTCGTTCCATTTTAAAATAGGGGTGTGGGGATGCGGGAGGGTGTAAGGAAGCTCCAGCTGCAGGACTTCCTTATACACTCACTGCTCTGCTTTGGGATGGCTCTTTCCTAAACAGCAAAGTAAATATTATGTGGCAAAGTCAAAACAAGCAACCTGTATCCTCACTGCTAGCTCTGCCTACCTCTGTCTCCTATCAGTTTCCTCCCCTGTGGGATGAAAAACCACCCCTATGATTCTCCCTTTGAGAGTTTGGGGAAGGACAGGAATGAGAACAGCAAGACACTATTTGCCAAGGTGGAAGCATTCAAAATGCTCTGCAGCATCATATTTTCCTGTGTCTAAAATGTTAGTATGATACATGACCATGCTCTATACATTTTTAGGTCTAGGAATGACTCCTGTATAGTAAATGCAAATTCACAGATCACCTTTAGGGTTTGAAAGGTTTCTTTTTCTTAATTCCTTTATCAGGATAGTTCCAACCCTCCCTTGAGGATGGAAGATGCCCGTCTCCACAACAAATAACCAAGCTCACTTTTTTAGTTCCTTCCAACTTCACTACCTGGCTCCTACTCTAACCTTTTTGCCCTTGCACCTATCTACCCACCCTGTTTCCTACCATGTTGTACCAAACAAAAGACATCTATTGAGAGGTGTCAGAAGACCTCCACATGAGAGGGGCCCTCATAGTAAAACATCTTGCAGATCTCACGTGGCTTCTTCCAGACATCCACTTGCTTGTGTTTGGAGGCTAGGTTAAGACTGCAGACAGCCTCCACTACATTTTTTGGATAGTTTCCTGATAGTGGCCATCCTCTTCCACCACCCTCCAGGTCTGCCATGATTTCCTTTGTACACCTCTCATCTTCCTAAAAATGTGTACCAGAGTTACTGGCAGAACTCCTGTTTCTAATGGGTGACCCAAGGCAATGATACATGGAGGGAAAAGCTTCTTGTGATATTGTTGTAATCTTTACAGCTATAAATAGTAAAAATTGATGCTTGATTTAGCAACAAAACATAAATCTCTCCCACCTTGCTGTATCCAATATCAAGCACAGAGAACATTTCCCATTACTTTATAGTTTGGTAGTTAAGAGCAATGATTTTGGAATCAAACGGATAGGTCTGAATCACAGGTCTGCCCTGTACTAGCTGTGTGCCTCTGTAAGTTGTTTAACTTTTATAGGCAGAGTCCTTAGTAGAAGATACCTACCCCATGGGCTTTTTAAGAGGATTGAGTAGATAGACCCTTTGAAAAGTGTCTGGCATCTGGTAAACACTCCCTAAATGTGTACTATAATTCTTATTACTCTTATAAATTACATAATTGAAATTGATCTTGGACTGCTGAAGTCAGGGTTAGGACACAGATCACACCTTCCCAAGACCATATGACTGGCGTTTGAGATTATCCAAGAAGAAACAAACAAACAAACAAATGAAACCCACAAAACCTAGATTCACCTAACCTTTCACTAGGCTGTTTATGATGCTTGCCATTCTAAATGAGCAATGATAAACTCTGTGGTCTTGGGAGAATGGCCCCAGGAGGGGAATGAGGAGGACAGAGACTGATGAGAACAGGCTAAGGGATGGGTAAAGACTGTTTGATTGGGAGAAGGGAGCATCCTACACTTGCCTTCATCGACTGCTTCCTTCTCTTTCCACCTATGGCACTTTCTGAACTCACATTTTATCTTTTACTCATGGAAGAGGAATGGCTATAGGATACTAAAAATGATTTTTTAAAATAAATGTATCAGGAGATCATTCATCCACAGAGTATCGCCCCATTTCAGCAACCTTCTCAGGCCCAGTGATCCTCCGCATATTTCTGGAGGTCCACTTTGGCTCCTACCCTGTGGGAGATACACAGGTGCAGTAATTGATTGCCCAGAAACGTCAGTGAGAAACTGGACCAAAGGGCATTTGGATGTGTGGAGACTAGGACTTAGGGATTTTTAAGGATTTTATATGATGACTTTCACACTGCTAAATTTGGTTGCTTCCATGTGAAAGAAAAATAAGAAATGATTCAAGAAGCACATGTGTTTTGGATTTAATGGGCCATCAGGAGAGCGAGAGGGCATCTGCAGAAGAGAGCCATCCAGGCTGCAGGACTCTTGTTTCGAGCAAATAGTCCATTGTTGACGTGGTGATAGGGCAAGTAGTTTGCTGATGGAAAAAAGAGAGGTCTATGCCAGCCTTAATTGTATTGTGAGAAAATGCAGCTGGCTAAATTTGGCTTCCCGCCTTTGATATGTGTAGGAACAGAATTCCCGAAGTAGAGAATGTGAGGTGAACATTGCATTAGGCTGTTCTTGTACCATTACAAAGAAATACCCAGGACTGAGTAATGCATTTGAAAAAAAGAGGTTTAGTTGGCTAATGGTTCTACAGGCTTTTCAGGAAGTATGGTGCTGGAATCTGGCTCTTCAGGAGCCCTCAGGGAGTTTACAATCATGGCAGAAAGTGAAGGGGAAGCAGGCACATCACATAGCCAGAGCAGGAACAAGAGAGCGAATAGAGGCAGAGGTGCCACACGTTTTAAATGACCAGATCATGTGCAAACTCAGAGATAGAGTTTTCTTATCACCAGGAGCCCAAGTCAGTCATGAGAGATCTTCCCCCCATGGTCCAAACACCTCCCACAAGGCCCCACATCCAAGATTGAGAATTACATTTCAACATGAGATTTGAGTGGGGACAAATATCCAAACTGTATCAAGCATGGTGTAAATACAATCTGTGTGCTTCCAGCAAAAGGTAGATGCTCAATAAATATCTGTGGGACCCATTCTAGTGCTGTTTATATACCCAGGGGTCAAAGGAAATCCCTTAACAAAAATTCAGGTGTACAAATTCTGACAATTACTGTAATGCTTTCTGGCCTTGGGAGCATATCAAGGATGTCTTCTACTTGTCTTATTTTTGGAGTTCACAAGTTTTGTGAGCCTGTTTTAGGACAATCAAGTTTTGGAGATTTACTTGCCACTCACCATAATTTTATGGTATAACAGGAATGTTCAGGTACCTCTGGAGGTGGAACCAAAAGTGGACAGCTTTGAATTAAATCAGTTTAATTCACCCACCTCCAGCCCATTGCATTATTGGTATCTTGGCATCTTGTGAACAGTGGCTTAAGTCAGGGGTAGGTAAGAGGAGAGGGGAGGGTGTTGGCAAAAAGAAATCTCATCCTGCAGGCATCTAGAGAGACAGCACATTTCATTCTTGGTAAACTCCAGCCGAAAAGAGCAATCAGCTAAACAAGAGCTGGACAAATTAAATGGCTGAGTATTATTTCAAAGGAGAGCTCAGGCAGCATCAGAAATTCCCCATCAGCTGTAATAACGCCAATTACTTTGCCAATTGCAGATTCCATCGTGATGTGTTTAGTGCAATCAGGCGTCGGACTCTTGCAGGGGCCTGATGGGTTTTGTTTACTCCGAATGTGCATTTGTGGAGAATCTTTTGCACCTAAAGGCTTAGAGCTCTGAATGTCCTTCGTTCATCCAGATTTATACACAGCTGAGAGAGATTATCTTTGAGATGGAGGCAGGGGTAGGCTGGGCAGGCTGGACCCAGTGCCCCCACCCCTCACTAGAGAATGCCTGGGATTTAAATATAAAGAGCACAGCTGGGCTTGGTGGTTCTTAGTGAATGTGGCAGTCTCCAGAAAACCTCTCTGTAGATTAACCAACCAGTTAATAAATATATATTTCTGATTATGAGCAAGGCTTCTTGGCATGTTGGAGTGTCGGACAGATAAACATTAAGCAGCAATAACAA